CAGCTTGGGCTGCGTTTGAGTAAGAGGGAGTTACTTCTAAAAATCATAGGATTGCATGAGATTGTCCACCTACTGTAAGTGCTTTCCAAGATTGTGTGAACCTTAATTGTTTAAGGGAAACTACTTGCTGCATTCAATTAACCTTTTCGGGAACACCCGTATTATTTACTAATAAAACCGAAAATGCGATTGTCGGGAAGGAATTGAGAAGAAGCAGATTCGATCGCTGAGGCAAGCAATTTGCAAGGCGAACTCGTTTTCTAACGCCAGGAAGTCACATGAACGAGCAATCCTCACGCCCATATGCAGTACGGGTGATGAAGGTTCAGCAGGTCGCGACCCGCACACCGATCATCAAGCGATTAGTGCACTTACGGGCAACTATCCTCGATAGGGGGGGGGGCCTTAATTGTCACAAGCCTACACTAGCATAGTGACTGTATCCCATAAATACTGCAACTCCCTGTGTATGCATCATGTATGTATGATGCTGGATCCGCGACAAAATCTGAAACGTCAGGCGAATAAAGTTCTCGTCCTAGCGATCGCATCTGTTTCTTCTCTATTCATCTTTATTATCAGCATGCCATGCACAAAAATACCTCCAGCCATCTATCCAACAAATCAAAGGAACCGAGGTAGTATACGTTGTTGCTCACCACTAGTTTGCCGTCAGACATGTCTGCACATTAATACGGTTAGGTTTGTCCTGGGGATGAAATCTCATGCCTTACTCTGTGTGTTCATGTCTCCCTTATTGTTCATTTTCCAACTCTACACACTGCACTAACGGACTCGGAGAACAGTTACCCACATTCACTTTTTTCACAAAACATCTCAATACTTGAACTTCACGCCGCTGCTTATGCATTTTGCATTCATTTTATCCACCCCTCGGTGCACCAGCTTACAAGTTTGTCTATTGTTCTCTTATTCCGGTAAAATCAAGTGCCCATCAGTCTCGCTTACCGTGTGCCTGTCAGTACTTGAATTATTTCTTTTGCGTGTCTAGCCTTTGGAAAGCTGTCTGGTGGACGAGCTTCGCATACTAAAACTCCAACGGCCGTACAACCATTGAATACTGAAGATAGGAGAAGCTTCATTGGCTCCTCTACCCAACATCTTGGTCCTACAGAGAATTCTTTTCCCCCGTCTCTTTACGTACTAACAGAAGGCTCTGTGAAGGTGAGTTTTGTTACGACTACTTCCTGGAACCCGCGTCTTCGCTTCAGTTAACAATTGAGTTTTTTGTTTGGCATAAGAAGCTAATCTCCTAATTTTAAATCCATTTTACAGCCGCTAATCAAATCAGGCCAGTTTCCGGGCGTGGAATTCGTGTCTGTAGAGTATGCGACTCATTCGGACATCAAGGATGCCTTTCAAAAACTCTACAAGGCCTGTCTACCAAAGGACTCTCGTTCTAGATTAGCTGCTTTCACTGGCCTGGGTGGAACTACCGGTGCTGGGGGCGCTCCAGCAGGGGGTTCTACGACAGCCGTGGCATCGACCGCTGTTAGCGGGGAACACGAGCCCACTGAAAAACATCCCACAACTGATGCTTCCAAGAGTGCAGATACTTTCATAGCCATCTCAGAATCGGGGTGGTTGACACAGGTACAATCGCTGCTGCAGTTGGCTGGTGTCGTAGTAGACATAATCGCGTTTCAAGGGGCCAGTGTGGCTGTCTGTCTGGAGGATGGTTGGGACGCAGTTACTCAGGTTCGTTTACCAAGCTTTCCTGTTTCAGACCACTTCCTCTATCCTACCCATGAAACTCATTCTTCTGAACTTAACAACAATGCCTTTAGGTTGTTTCACTGGCGCAAGTTATGATGGACCCGATCTACCGAACCATACGTGGATTTTGGTCACTGATAGAGAAGGAATGGCTTATGTTTGGCCACTGTTTTAATCATCGCGTGGGCCAGAAGTCCTCACGTCGCTCCAAGAATGTGTCCCCCGTGTTTCTTCAGTTCCTGGACGCTGTGCATCAACTCCTTTGCCAGTTTCCTCTATCGTTCGAATTCAACGACTTCTTCCTTCAGTTTTTGGCCTACCATCACATTTCTAATCGGTTCCATGAATTTAAACACGATTGTGAGTACGAACGTTTGAGCCACTGGTTCAATCTTTCTATTTCTGCTCCGATGCGTCCGGATCTGCCTGCAGATGTACATTATTCGCACACTGGGATAGTCCCTTCACCAACGGCCTATGAGGCCAATTCGGTTTGGAGCTTTATTCAAACTCAGCACGAAGAGTGGCCCATCTTCTTCAACTTCTTCTATTCTCCAAAACGAGCTCAAAAAGTATGTCCTTGATTTTGGTGATTCCATTTTTTCATTGTTTCGTCTTAAGGTCGAGTCTGCATTCTGAGTTTTTTTCTTTCATATTTTGTGTTATTAAATAGACCCTTATACCGGTGACCAGCTTGATATCATTGGATATATGGAAATATTACCTCAACGAGGATTTGGCCACCGGTCCCGTTTACGATCTCGATCTGTTTTGCCCAAGTTATCGGAAACAAACTACTCGCAACTATGACCCTGTCCTCCGACAAGGCTATAACAATACCCATGTGGTAAGTCTCGTCTCCCGTTTTTTCTTCAATAAGCAATTTTTTACCGGAAATAACTTTATTTAATTTCGTGACAACGAACCTTTAGATTGAAGCTTTGGAAATACTCTTGTGACGGTCAGAACATGGTATGTACGTCAAAAATCCTAACACTCAAGTTTTCATTAGCAATATAGTAGAAAACGCCAGTAGATGAGATTCGCGTCCCTCCGAAGCCGTAGCTGTTTTGTACAGGCTAGTTCAGCGGACTATACGCTGACAGAGTCAGGGCAGACTCGTTTAAGGGAACATGTCCTTACTGGAGCATTATTTGGTCGGTTTGCTCATACGTGAGTAGATTTGAGGTCAGCTATTTTAATGCATCGTTGCTTCACTTACCCTATGCGGAAATAGGGTAGCTTATGAAAAGAAGAAGACGCGATCCGTTGGTCGAGCGCTTTGTTCACTTGGTGTTTGGAATTCATCTTCAAACCTATCATCATAGACAGCACCAGATACTGGTAATTCACACATAAGCGGTTGAAGTATATTTTAGGATGCAGTCACTATGCTACCACATACCTATCGAAGTTAACGTCCCTTCATCTTCATCGAAAGCGGTCGCCCTTCGTGTGAAAATGGCTTGGTGGCCGTAATTCGAGTCGTTAGTCGCTACAATGTCGTCATCTGTTTTGGATGTTGGCGTGGCACTGGCTTACCAACACTGGCGCTGGAAATAGTGTTCGCCTGCGTGCTTTCGTGTGGCTACTTACTCCCCTAGGTTTTCATAGCACCGGATGTGGAAGGATCAGATCATTACACTAGACTGGTGATAAGTAAACCATGGCTAAGGCAGCTCGCGACTTGTGATGGTCACCTCACGCAATAATTGTTGTCTCATTAGCCTTGAATTTGTGACCTGGATCCAGTCGAATGACCTGGCAGCTGACGTCATTTCTCCGCACTGGAGCTGCGTGTTCGACTATTTACGTCCGTGGCAGTCTTTCAGTTTCTCTGATATAACTGCTTTTTCCGCAACTGTAACAGATCTGGTAAACGACTCCAGATGTTTCCTTTCGTCGTAGTGAGTCTTTTGGTCTTCTTATCTGGCCTCTGATAGTTGCCCCTGGACTGTGTGCAACCCCAAGTCAAAGTACTGCGAAAAGGCTGTTGGCGACCTCTCAAACTTTTCTATGCACAGAAGCACTTACCAGAATCCGGGATCGGTGAGAAATGGCATCTCATCTCGTGTGTGTATGCACCGTTTGACGAAGTTTCGCAGGCAACCGTTTTCTCTGAACACCCGTAGAGGGAATTGTAATTCGGTCACCTTTATCTTCCGATCCACTGAAGTTCGTCCCAATGAACCTATATAACGCTCTTACGCTACTGCATTCGCGGCTGGGTAGATTAGTTGCTGTGTCATGACTACCGCCAGCAACCTAAGCCAACATTCTAGTGGGATTTGATGCTTCTAGGACCGTTCATCATTAGCATTGAAGGTGCCAACATGGCTTATCATTAAAAGGTTTGTTATTTTAAAGACTTTATGTCGTAGTCCCAACATGGGTATTGGCTAAAAGACCAGACACGTGCTTTGCCGATATTTTTGTTGTCACATGACGCAGCAACGAGGGGTCCGGCTCATCAGTAGGTCCTCTGGCGTTCTCAATGCGGTTTCTGCTACATGACCTGCTGCGTCATGCAGAAACAAATATACCCCTACGTGTTTGGACTTTTAGCTAGTATTCATGTCGCAAGTACGATGTAACGTCTTTGTCATATAGAATGTATACTACTCGTAGTACCACTTGTTTCTAGAATGGGCATTACGTGGTTATTTCATAGTAGTTGATTGCCTTCGACCCAAATGTTCATTGAGATTTTGGGACAGACCCTAAAAAGTCATGTCCCCGTCACTTAACTCCAGGTCATTTACTTAATCTCTGAAATTATTCTCTTGACAATTGTTATTACTTACTCCGAAGAAAAACTGCATTTTTAAACATGGTTGAAACGCTTTTCTTTGCTGCCGGTGTCTCATTTTTTCTAGTCTGTCCTATGTCAGTCGCCTCCGCTCTATTTATTAACATTTCATCTGATGGCATTCACTTGCCCTGTGTAGGGGGAATATGTCTGAAAGGAAAGCAGTGCTGGCACAAACAGCTACTGCTGACTCTTTACTGAATATCTGTGCGCCTTACCATATTCCTGTCCAACATGTGATAGTCCATTGTATACAACACCCACTTAGCTTCGCCTTCCCGCTTATAGATCTGACATTTTCATCTACTTGCGTTCAAGCATTCCTTGTGCTTTTTGTGCCCAACTAATTTCTGAAGGTCCATCAATGCAGCCCTCGTAAACAACTGCACCTATACCTGACTAATCACTTCCGCAGCCAGGTAGTCAGTGCGTGTCACACGAGAGTTGCTTATTTCGAACTCCGTTATTTGGATGAGATATTCAAACGACCGGTTATCGTCTTAATTGCTTTCAGCGTAGTTTATCCTTTTCTGTCTCTTACCCGCATGCCTTTATCTGCCAAACCTTGACCTCTTCATCCCTAATCCTCAATGTAGCCGTTGAGAGAAAACCTGTCAGAGTTGTACAGTTCACTTCTAGTTAAATGCTACCATTTTAGGAACAAACCTACGCGCTGCTGGGTTTGCGCGAGGGCGAAGATGCGGCCGGTTGGAGGGAAGCCTGGGC